CGTCTCGCCTCGCCTAGCCTCACTTCGACTCATTCTCAAATTCCATTTTCTAACTATGTTTCTATCCTTTCTACGATCACCTTTTCGGCTGTCGTTCTAACTACATCCTGTCACTCCCGCGCTATTACTTTCCTTATCACTTTCGTTATCACTCTTGTCTTTCATTGTCTTTCCCGAATTTAGCGACATTTTCAGCCCTGACAATCTTGTTCGATTGTTCCTATTCGACTCTAGTTTTCCACTTGGAACATTGTTCATTTTCATTAAAACAGTCGTGTGCAGTGCTTAAACAAAAAATAGATCAGCCAACGTTCTCGATTACGAGAAGTAAGTCTTTCTTGATTCAAGCATACCAGCTAAATATATTTACTTACTAAATTGCGCGCTTTTTAGCGAGCTATTAGTTGGCACGCTCTGTCAGCATCCCGAGTGCTGGAAAAGATTATCGCAATGGGATTTACTTTTCTTACCTAATTCCGCTTACGTAATTTCCAATCTAATTATCGTAACCGCGACAATGTACGTTTCTCTTTGATGATCTCCTGAGGGCGACGTATTTGGGTCGACAATGTTCTTACACGAAGATATTTCGCATGGGCTTGTCTCTTACGTAGATCCCGGAGATATTTTGTCTGCAGCGAATGGATTTTCGAAAGTAAAGAAGCAACATGATAAGAATATGACGCAGCAATAAAAACTAACTTAACCCTTAAATAACTGTTGTTCGGGGAAGGGAAGGGTGGTTACGGCGCTCGCGAATCTTCGAGAGGACATCAGGTAAAATCGGAGCACGTAGATAAAATCGGTACAGTCCATCGGCAAAATGCGAAGTCACGTCATTAACCAACCAAGCGCATCGACCTAGTTGCTGCTGTGCCATTAGCAGATAATGACACTTTTTCGAACGAAAGATGGGCGGCCAGACTTTAGTTCCCGTAGATAGAACGTAATCGATCGTTCCCTTCTGACGAGCGACTCGTATTGAAGAGAATTTTTCTAAAATCAGCCGAAACAAATACTAATGAAGCAAGACTTCGGAAGTATCTTTGGAGCGACTGTAAAAGAGAAATTGAAATATCTCTTAAGGATCGCTACACAATAATGATCGCTCATTACTAACTTGATCGTATCATTCGTCGAGCTCCTTCGACAAGAATATTTAGCTTACGCAAAAATTTTTGCGTTCTACATGAAGATATAAAGTTTATATATAATAATAGAAGAAAAATTGAAGAAAAATTCGCAACTTCATTGCAATAATGATTTTATATAAATCGTTTTATTTTATGAATGACCATTTTCAATCGCGCTTGTAGAATATTTTTAATAATCTTGATAAAAGTGACATTTTTTTTATTAGCATGAAGTATCAATTTAAGTATTATATTTAAAGTATATATTTAAATCACAGAATTTATTTAAGTTTAGACATAACTAACTCATAACTAACTACACACAAGTACAGTATTTAAGTTTAGGAAACACCTTAAACATACTTGTATGAATATATTATATCCAACTCAATTCGACTATTTATAACTTTTATAAAAATGAACATATTGTAAATAATTTTTTTCCAATCAAAAATTTGAACCAAATATTAAAAAACATAACGATACCAAGCAAACATAAGTATTTTTAACAAAAAAATTTATAAACATTGTAATGGAAAAAATATTGGAAAAAGAGAATCGGATGTGCCATACACTAAAAAGGCATGTTTAAAAGACAGTCAATTAACTTCATTTTTCTCACGAAAAAGAAATTCTTACGTCGTTATCAGTGCACTTACAAAAGAAGAATTATTGTCTTAGGAAAGTCAATATGAAAATACAGTAAATCCTTACACAATAGTGACTTACTTTCATTTCAATGGCCTTATCAATAGTTATGTTCGTTTCATTTGTGTTTGCAACTCGACACAGCTTATTTTTTTCAAAAGTACTCTGATAGAGGCATGCGACGCATCCCTTCGTGGGCGTTAATATTCTCGATGGGTGGTCCAGCGAGCCAGGAGCGTCGCTTTCGCCGAGAGGGTGGCTGCTAGAAAATATGCGAGATATCGGAGAACCCTCGATCAGTTGCGCCCACCTTCTCCGTGTTATCACCATGACTACCGGATGAAACAAACGGTAGCCGGCATGGCTGCTAAGCCTCGGCAGCCTGGCAACCAACCTCTCACCCTGCGAGAATGAACCCGTCGCTTTGTGCTCCCAGCTGTCAGGACTCTCTTCAGCCGATAGAGGTTTCTATACCTAAACCACCTACGAACGCGCGCACGGTTCAGAATCGACTCATTCGCATCTGACACACGCCAATTTATGCTCAGAATTACAAAGGAAACGTTACATCCTGTGTGTTGCAAGTGAGCCTTTGAGCTTGCGAGTGACGAATGGCAAGGCCGTGTCAATGACATAACGATTCCATTTCGCAGGTTTTGGTAACAAACTTAGTCTGAGGTTCAGTTTGGATTGGTGGTGTTAATGATCGGCAGCGGAATGCTTTACCACTTTCGTATGTTAAACGAATCGCCGCGTCATCGTCGTATTTTACATTATAGTTGTGATTACATTAAGAGAAAAATGTTTGATATTTGTGACTATAATTGCCTTAAAATAATTAGTTCCATTGTTATTACTCTTATAATATAATTGTAATAATAATACATATATTATATATATATATATATATATACAAATATATAGTTCTTTTAAACGAGTGAGAAAATTATACTAATAAGTTATGGTAATTTCAAATATTAATGTAGTGAAATATCAAGATATATAAATGATAAATAAAATAAATATTTTTATTCAGTAAATGCAATTTATAGTGAATATATTTTCTTAAATCCACACTATTTAATGTAATAATAAGAAATATATTTTTAAAAAACTAAAATTTGTTAAGCAAAGTGTGACTATTATTAATAGCATAATTGATGGCATTTACATAGTTAAAACCATAAATATATGATTGTCCCAAAAAATGACTATAAATTATAGTTAAATTGTGATAATTGCAATCTTTTTTTTCTCTCAGTATAAACAATTATAGATATAGTATAAACAAAATATATTTAAATAAAAATTTATTGTACATTGAAAAAAGATTCAACATTTTGCTATAAATATATAAACACAGAAATCGATATAAAACAATATAATGATGTTACTTATCAGTGCGTAGTGAGTTATACTTAGAATCCAGCGTATAAAGTAAAGATCCTCGGAACGTAGACAGTGACAAATTGCTGCAGAAATAAGAGGGTGAAAGCGGTGGTTAGAAGAACCTTATGGGCCAAAACCGATGTAGCGTCAGTATATCAAAGTAAACGAACGAACAAACTATCCTTGTTATTTTTTTTTTATTTTGCAACCGCTTCCTCTAGACTCTCTAACTCCCATTATATTCAGCCTCGTTATTGATTCAACAGCCAATTTTCGCGTTATGTGAAAATCTCTCTTTCAACAAAGATATTCGTTTTGACTGTTTTGAGTTACAATTGTTCGAAAAAAAGAGCTTGTTATCGTTTCTGTTAAAAGACTGAATACAATCCGGTGATTATCTTTGTGTGGAGTTATCAATGGGAAAAGATATCTCTGTAATTCTTCACGTGTATAAAAAAAAATTAAATATATACAATAAAAACGCGTATTCTATAATTAAATGTTCCGACAGAATTCGACGTCGATGACGTTTATGGACAGAGAATATTAAGCATTATTCGATAAAATGATTTAGCGATCTTGTGCTGGCGACCAAGGCGAGCATCAGACGAATGCGGTCGATAGCAGAACGTCACTGACGATTACATTAGTCATGAACGCATTAACTATACAGATAAAAGGAAGGCAGCTCGCGACGACCCATCAACTAGAATATGCATGACGCTACGAACCGACAGACCGGAGACCACGCACGGTGAACGAAGGTTAAATCGAATGGCAACGTCAGCCTGCCATTGGGCAGGAAAGAAAGTTTGAAAATTAATTATGCATGCGCGCGCGTCGCTACTCGTTGATACCCTGGACCTCTACGAATTCGCTTCGACGATTGCACTTATCACTATTCTGATTTGCCTGATTTGGCATAAATCCGCACATCTTCAACACAAGACATTTTCGATTAATTAAAATGTCTTGTCAGTTCTATCGACGTGATCTTCAGTTTTTCTATTTTTATATTAATTGGCTACGTTCAATAGAGAAAACTGATCACTAAGCGCTCATTGATCTAGTTTTCTTTGCTGAACGCAGCCATTTGATTATTTCCAGAACATGTAGAAATCTAAACCATAATTAGAAATAATGTAAGCACGCATCCGTTTTGATCGTTTCATTTAAATAATTCCGCGGGCACTATACTCGAAACAGGGTTAAAGCACTTGCGAATACGAGAACAACTTGCATTTAATAAACTCAATTATCTCGTCGCATGACATAGGTCAAGTTGCTGAGAGTAGAGGAATATCTGCGTCCGCCGCAGATCCTGTTACCTGTCTAAGTAATTAAGCAGTAGTTACGACGGCATATGTTTCAGCGAAATGTCGCAGTATACAACAGCCATGAATCAAATGCACAGAAAATTGGAACACGCTCGGAATGTATCGAAGAATCTCCGCGTTCGCGCTGCATTATACTTTAGAGCAGAATGATGTAGGGGAATATCTAACATTACCGTCGGATTAACATAATCGTCGAAGAACATAATTTGATGCTAATTATCTCTTCGTTCAAATTATTAAATAACGATGAGAATTATTAAAATTATTATAATTGTTGCGACCTTTAATGTGTCTTGGATAGAATTGTTACCTCGGCACTGGTAGAATGTTAGCAAATATTTGTAATCGCACTTCGCGATTACTCGCGGTTGGTAGTTCAGAAAGCGGCGTTTGTATCGCCGTTAACCGGTGCAAGACGAATGCGTTACTCGATCGTCGAGTGTGACTTTATGCAGCAGAGCATTAAGGACAAACGTTTCGCTGTGTGTTGCAGAGTACTTGATGTCAGGAAGTCCACGGAGTTATCCAGCACGATCCCCGGGGGTTGCTTCCACGCCAACCGTGACCAGGTGAGTTAGTACGCCTCCCCGCGAATTTCGCCAATCCGTATACGCGAATGTGCGACGTCGTTTCTCGTGCGACTCGCAAATGTGACACATCCATATTCCAACCGGAATAACATAGATTCTCGCAAGGGCTCGAACGAGTAAGCGGATTTTTCGCTAGGGGCAGCAAATCGGTCAGCCTTATCGGTTTTACCTGGTGGCTGGGCTTTACGCGACTGAATTAAGCCCTAGCAACTACAAAGAATCGATGGCCCGCGACTGATTTGTTCTGAAACTGTGAACACATCGTGATGTTCGATGATTTTCAACCATCATCGCGCCTCGCAAATTTCAGTATCGTTGCGTAAACGATTTTACGTGATTAATCATTCGATGCCACACTATGGGAACAATACATTTGGTACATGATAAATTGATTGTTTATAGTTTTTATACAAATTATTAACAGAAAGAATGATTTTAAAAGATCTGAAATTTTTCTGAATACAGACTTGAAAATAGTTTTATTGGACCAATGTAATCAAAATAATTATGTTGGAAACTAATAAATGATGAGTAATGCTGCAAAAAATTTAAATCTTTCAATAAAATCATTTTTTTCATAAAAATGATTTTTCATAAAAAATATTGTAAAAAATTATTTTTTCGAGCATCAGACATTAAGGGGAATATAACAATATCAAGCAAATGTATCTTTAATAATAAAATATTTCTTTAATAATAAAATGGAAAAAGCTGTCGAAAAACATTGGAAAAAGAAAGTTAGTCGTCAGAATGGCACCGAAAGATAGAAATCAAACAGATAATGCATGATTTTTACAAAAACAGACGTCAAAATTATTACATAAATATTTTCCAAAATTATTTTAAATATTTTTAACGTTTGGCGTTATATAAATATAAAGTATGAACACACATTCCTCGATAATGGGTTTTATGCGTAAATGAACGAGCCATACACCGTTTTCTCTGTGGTCATGGAGAATATCTCCACTACAAAACTCAAGTGCGAAAAGTTTCGAGAATCTAAATCAATCGGTCGGGAAGAGAAGAAGACAGCCGAAAGCGCAGTGGAAAGCGCGATAAGTACAGAGAACTCTGCGACGATCCAACCGATGGAAGGCAGTTGAGAAAGAGCAGGGTAGAGAAAAAGACACGTCTAAAGATGTTCCAATTCAAATGAGTTGAACTTTTAAAATATTTAGAATGTTGAACAGGTCCCGTCCCGACATTTCCATTTCGCTCCTTCGTCCCTTCTCACGCCAAGCGTGCCGGTCGATCGCCGTCGGTGACGCGCACAAAATTTCGAATTAGTTCACTCTTTATTCTACCTCATTACCGTCCCTCAACATTCCTCCTACTTTCTTTTCTCAAGCAGCTAATGGCCTACTACGTGCCGCAATTCATATTTCATCGCTTGCACGCGGAATGCTTCTGAGCTACTCCGCCATATAATATAGCTGATATCTCTCTCTTATTGAGATATAATTTTATAAATGCAAAAAATGTTCTTATCTGTATTAAGTTTTTGAAAAAAGAGTACACGAGCAATTTCGAAATAGTGCAGTCGCATTAATTATACGTATATTTTTAGAAAAAGTATTATTTCGGTAGTTCATTATATGTATAAAGATTTGAAAAATATATATCTACATCACATACACACGAATGAATAATAAAATAATATTGATATTTGATGAAACATCACTCGAACCTTGAATTATCTAATTTATGTGGCGTGCCAGTGTTAAGAGGCTCCCACAGTGAAATTATTAACGCATTTTCTTGCTTAATTTACTAAATTCTCTCGAATTAGGAATATATCTGTACAGTGTAGCGATTCGAACGAATATCTGTCTCGTATATAGTCTTACATAATATTAATTAACTATGATAGTAATTGACATGGGATTCTTGCTTCGCATTACGCATTCATAGATAGCCACGCGAGTTCGACGATCTTTTCTCGAGGATCTTGAACTCGGCTCAGGAATATCGATCTCATTCTATAGTTATGCCGCATGATGAGCGTCTCTATTTTGAATCCTATCTATCGGCAAAGTACCCGGATATAAGACAACATTGTTACCATCATGTAAAGCTCATTTGTTTGATAATTCAACCTCGGTACGAGGTATACATACAAGACATTCTATTGACATATCATCGCGCAATTTGCCGCAGCGATCTACTAACGATGATCACGTCATCTCCTTAATTATAAAGGATATGAAACTATTACATCGCCGAAACTGATAACAGAAATAGAAAATTCTGAGATACCGTTACTTTTGAACGATAATCGCATCGACCCTTAACACTTTCCCGCAGTTGATTGTATACTTTTTTTCTCTTCGGAAAAGCGCGCTGGTCTCGGCAAAATGACGAGAAAAGGAAAGACCATCGGTGTCACCGGAAACAGCAGGTCAGCGAGACGGAAGGTACTCTGTTGCTGAGGCAACGCGGCTAAAAGAACACGCGCGGCCCTTGTCCGAGAGAGCGAAAGAGAGTTTCCTCCCCCGTTCCATCTTTCCTTTTATTCTTCGTCCGTCCGTTACGCCTTACCCTCGACTTCCTTCCAAAAGACTGCTAACGACCGAATCCGCCGAGAGCACTGATCACGATAGCTCCATGCTCACAGAAAACCGCGAACTTTTCCCAGTACAAAGTATATAGTACTAGATATTTTGGGAAATCAAATAAATTCGTTTTTATGGCTTCTAAATTTATTCGTCCTTTCAACAATTTTAGGAGAACAGTTAAAATATACGTACACGTTAATTTTATATTCTTAATAGAAAAATTGTAAATTAATATTTATCAATCTGTTATTCTTAACTTTTCAAAATATAAAAATTTATATAGCTTTTATAGAAATATAGAAATTCTAGCTTTTATTTTTTTTCGCACTATTTCGCGAAATGATAAAGATTAGGAATAAGATGATGCACTTCATTGTTAATAAAAAAATCTAATAGAAATATTATTATATTTAATAAATTATTATTTTTATAAATAATCTAATAATAAACCTAATAATAAAAAATAAATATATCTTTTTATCTTTTTATGGTACATTACAGACATCAAAAGCTTGATATTGATCTATATACCTATCAAAGAAAATAATACGTTTTTTACTTTTTTCTTAACCAGATTAAATGGATACAGTCTTTGTCGTATCTCAGATGATACGCGAAAGAAGACAATCGCTTTTCTTTGGTATTTATCGCTTATTAACTATAATAACGTGATTAAAAAAGCAATCGCTACACTTGATCGGCGACAAAGATTTCCTTTTCTGTCTTTTTATTTTTCTTTTAAACGTTCCATTTTATCTTTTCTTGCCTTACTAATCTTTCCTATCATAGTCTCCATTTATGAAACCGATCGAAATAGCAATCACTATTAATACTCTCAAAAAATTGGCGCTGCACTGTTAAATTCAAATTCACTTAATTTGAGTTTTTTTAAATCATTTCTATGAATCGCCGATTCTCCTATTTAATATATCATTAATTTAGAGTTAAATAATTTAACTTGAGAAAATGTATTAAATTTGACTCAAATTTAGTTTATTATTTACTAAATGCGTATATTAAATAAACGTTATTTATGTCGAAAGCAACCAGAAATGGATTGATTTACATTTTGACACATTTTGGAATTGAAAATAATAGAATGTTATTTAACTCAAGTTTACTATTGTTTCTTTGATATTCTAACAGTATGCGTTTTTAAAACGAATTTTGAAATCATATCAGGTTTATTTTTGTGAATCGCTGTATTAATATTATGATTTCTGCAAAAAAATAAGCTATTACGTATCATCACAAAAAATATTACAACAACTGCGCTTGGTAGTATACTCTTTCTATTATTTAAAATAATTAAATTTCACACTGTCAATATCAGTTATGTAAAAAAACAGTCAATTTATTGAATTGTCATAACATTTTTGTTTACAAGATGATCTTTTATATAAAAAAATTATTTAATTTGAAATGTACGGTTTTATCATGTTTCTTCTTTCTAATATTAAAAATATTTTTAATTCGTGCATGTTTGAAAAGCATATGAAAAAAACACATGAAAAATCTGAAGTCAGTTTCATAAACTAGCCGATATTAAGAGACTAAACAAATACAGCTACATAATAATTTCTTTTTACGGAGCGTAAAGCACAAAAAATTCGCTGCATTTTCCATGAATCAGCAGCGTATTTTACAGTACAAGATGATGGTAGAATTATGGTGAACGTTGATAAGACCTCAGAAGAAATTTATTGCTCAAAGAGTATCAAAACATGGTGCACTTCCTTTCATTTTCTTTTATCCCTCCAACCGTGGCCTGATTTTCTACGATATTGATTTTTTTATATCTTTTATTATTCGTTTAATAATCAAAATAATTCCTATTTTCCAAACAGATGTTAGATTAGATGTAAATGACAGAAAAAAATAGAGAAGTACATCTCAATCCAAACAAATTCACAGGTAAAGCAGGTCGACACCTAAGTGCGCTTCGTTTAACTCTGTATTAACTCTGTTCCTTAATTCTCCGGGTTGCTTCTGCACTGTGAAAAGTAAGTTGTTTACCATGCATCCTTTCCCTATGTACCCCAGCCGCTTGGCGCAGCTACGGTTACGGGTATGCTTTTGTCTCTCCGCGGAGCGACGGCGGAACTATTTAAATTAATCAACATGGAAACCTTAATCTCGCCCGACGTCTTAATCCCAGCTTCAATTTGCGCACGACTCAGGCTTCTCTTCCTCTTAAACTTTCCATCCGCCTTACCGAACTGAACCTCGTTCAGCAGCGCGCCTTTCACAGAACGAAAAGCCAAATTTAAAATGTTTTCTTTTTCCCTGAGATGTATTCTCTTTGCTGCCCCTATTTAGGACAAAATTTTTACGTGATCATTTTATGATGAAGTTGTTAGAATATGAGTTAGAAAAGGGTCATCGTTATTAATCTTTCCGTATTTTATAAATGTTTATAAAATTTAATTTACATGTTAATTATTACGATTTACACAATTTTTGTCCCGTGTGAGAGAGAGAGAGAGAGAGAGAGAGAGAGAGAGAGAGAGAGAGAGAGA